GTTTCATAATCATACTGAAATATGTTCCTCTCTTCAAAAATAAAATATAACCCTGTATGGATATTAGCCCTCTGCCAAAAACTGGTGTAAACCAGTTAACTCATGTAGAGTGAGTTCATTGTACTATAATAATTCTATGTATGTTTGTATTATACCGAAAAATGAATATCTTTTTTATGTACTACACAGAATATTACAAAATACAGAATAAATTGATGACTGAATTTCAACAGAGTTTCATAATCATACTGAAATATGTTCCTCTCTTCAAAAATAAAATATAACCCTGTATGGATATTTAGCCCTCTGCCAAAAACTGGTCTAAACCAGTTAATCTCATGTAGAGTGAGTTCATTGTACTATAATAATTCTATGTATGTTTGTATTATACCGAAAAATGAATATCTTTTTTATGTACTACAAAGACTATTACAAAATACAGAATAAATCGATGACTGAATTTCCACAGAGTTTCATAATCATACTGAAATATGTTCCTCTCTTCACTTAATTTGTTGGCTTTTCATATTGGGGTTTTTTTTGTTCCTTTTTTTTTTTTTAATTAGTGCCAGGATTTGGTGCTGTGGTAAGTCTGCAGACTTCTAATCAAAAAATCTGAATTTGAATGTTATGCTACATCGTGCCTTCGGGTAGCCTTATTATCCATGTTGTATTTTTTTCCAGCCAAGAGTATAAATGTCTATCTGGTAGGTTTAATAACCAAAGCGCTGCCATCTTCAACAATAGACTTTTCCACATTGTCAGTCATACTAAACAATTGACCAATTAGAACAGGGTCAGGAGTAACGCACTTGTCCCACAATTTGTCTTCCCACAAACCCACATGCTTTCCCACAAACCCACATGTTTTCATATATTTATACTGTCATTGTGTGGGAAGTTAGTATAGTATTAACAGTATCTAATGGAGCTTTGTTTGGTTCTGTGTTCCACTGTTTTCATCCAAGTATCATGGACTATATGAACATATTAGTGTGTATAAGACTGGCATGTTATTGTTATTATAAGTTTTAAGAATTGTTGTAATAGCAATGTTTTATTTCTTTATTATACAGAATCCAAACTAGAACGTTTGAAGCATTCAAAAAACCCATGCTCAAAGGAGATGATCAGATCCCTGCAAGCTGCTAAGGAAGGAACAGTCAAACAACTTGTTGTTACAAGTCAGGATTTGATCATAGACGACGGTATAAATGAAGCTGAAATGCAGTCAAACACAGTAGTGCGACGTATGTTTCCTGAACAACCGCGCACTATGGAAGAAATGCAGTGTCTAGTAGAAAATGATTACCTTAACAAATACTCACAAGAATTGAAGGCCTCGCAAAAGAGAAAGATGTTGCAAAGGAGCAAGTCATGCGCGACCTGATTTGACGCTTCCTCATTTTACTTTGTTGATCACGCTGTTGTTATGTCATGGATTATGTGAATTCTCTCAGGTAGAGATACGCTGTTTGCGTCATGACGGTATTGTCTAGAGTATTTTTAAAAGTTCTAGTTTTGTTGTCATCAGGCTTCTTATAGCAAAAACAAAGAATTATGTGCAATGAATACAAATTTTTTAGGTCAGATGTTTCAAAATTAGGAGGGAATGATCCCCCTTCTCAAATTGGGTCATGCTAATTTGTTTTAAATCCAGCTCATGATTGCAAAAGGTTTGTTTTTATTACAAAAGCTGAAATGCTAAACTTGGATTTATTAATTAAATGTATATGTCTGATTTATTCCTGACTGCTAAAAATCTGTATTGTATATCAGATGAATGGTTTCAATTGTTTTTTTCTTACTTTATATTTGTAATAAAGAATTAAATTTACAATATTTTATTTTTTATTAATTGATTCATTCATTGATTAAAATATTATATTTGTAATTATGTGTTTGAGGCACAGATGTCAGGTCAAAAAGTCAAATCAAAACATATCCGAGCAAAATATAATCATATGAACCAATAGATTAGTCAACAACTAAGTAACCAAAAATCCAAATAAATACAAAATAAGTCTAGGGCCTAGATGGCATTATTATACTGTAGATTTTATATTTAAGGACAAAACAACTAAAGGTAAATTAGCTTATCGTCGTAGATCAAAATATACTAAGTCTTTCACTATTTGTGGCTGCATTCCATTTTAACTGTTTGTTTTTTAATTTTCATATTTCATGTTCGATGTCCATTAACTCCTCGATGTACAATTACATTGGTTTATATGCTGTTTTTACTCTAATGTGCTGTAATCAGCTTTTATCATTAAGGGATCATCTATAATTATCAACATTTTCAAAAGAGTACAAAACATACTCTTTTCTGTTACCCCCTCCCTCCCCCC